AATCAATCACAGGGCAGGAGGGAGTGGGTTTTTAAAGGGAGAGGAAGAGCCAAAGGCTCTCTGGAGTCGCCAGTGCCAAAAATAACATCTCAGGGTTTAATCTCGGTGCAGTTTTAGCTGGGGAGGATCTGCAGGGGGGAAAGGCACAAAATGCACCCAAGCTCCTTCCTGAGGGATTGAGCCGGCTGGAGCCTTCCTGATTTCCACTGAGGGAGCAGGAATAGGCTTTTCCTGCTGCCTGTGACTTGGGAAGGACACGGGGTGCTCAGTGCTCCAGTGTTTTGCAGCGGTGCAGGGCAGGATCCGACCCTGCTGCAGCAGAGCTGCCGAAGGGGGGGTTTCCTCCCCCTCCTCCAGCTTTTCCTGTGGGAAACGACCCTGCTGTCAAAAGCCCCCAGTGTCAAAGGACCCCGGTGTGGAGCCCCTGCTGCAGCCCCTCTGTGCCAAGCAGGAGCTGAAGCTCTTCGAGCACCTCCAAGCGCAATTCACGGTCCGTTTTTTTTTTGAGCTGATCCCTCTAAACCTTCACTCCTTCTCCTTCATCCTCCTCCAGGCTCAGGAGGTGCTTCCCATCCCTCCTGTAGCAGGAGGATGCCGCCACTGGAGCCGGCCTTCCAGAAGCCCTCGGTGACCTCGGCTGCTGCCGGCACTTCTGGCTGCCACCGCAAACAACCACGAGCTTCCCGCTGGGAGCAACGGGGCTCTGAGCTCTTCTGGAAGCTGAGCCAGGAGGGAGACCCTCCAGGAGGACACAGCCCCCAAATCTTTGCCTTTCGTCTCCTGGAAGTGTGAAAATATGAGAGTTTGTCCGCGCTGTTGTCGCGCTCTTTCAAAGCAACGGGTCTTTGCGGCATTCGCTCCAGCATTCCCTCCTTGTCCCAACACCTCCTTTCCCATGGAAATGGGCCCAGCCGGGGACTCACGTGGGCCCGGGCAGATAATTGTAATGGTCCCCCCGGCCTTTAAATCTATGAATCACTCCCGAATCGGGGCACTTTATGCACATTAGTGAATTAATCCGTGCAGCCTCTCCGCAAGGGAGGGAATTATCCTTGTCATGGCTCAGATGGGAAATGGGTGAGATGGAGCCCGGATCTGTGCCAGGACCAGGGGTCACATCACTCACTGCAGAACAGCCGACCTGGGGGCCCCCGGCCCCGGGGGCACCCCTGACCCCGCATTAGTTACTCTGCACTTGTGCCGAGCGAGCGGGGAACGGCTCCGCAGCCTGGAAATCCATCGGAGCCCTGTCACGGCGAGATGGATGGATGGGGCGTGGGCAGCGGGGCTGCCGCAGCTGGGAGCGTGGGGAGGATGTGCTGGGTGGGCTGGGGTGTGGGCAGGAGGTCCAGCAGGCCCCCAGGGCTTGGGCTTTGCTCTCTTCACGGCTCCGTGGGTGTCCTGCCCCTCGCCCAAGGTGTGCCAGGAGAGCCAGGCAGACCCCAGGACATCCCCACTCTAGGGAGCACAAGGACCAGATGAATTTTGGAAGTGAAACCCGTGGTGGCTCCTTTTAAAGCGGGTGACTTTGAGCTCGGCTTATCCATGCTGAGCGCTCAGCACATCATTTCCCTCCCGCACTGCAGTGCAGACACCTGCTGTTCCCTTTTGTTTCCGTGGATCCAGGTGTTTCAGCCATGTCAGGGCAGTGCCCTGGCGTCCGTGGGCAGAGTAACTCCAGCTGTGCTGGAGTTAATGTGGGAGCAACTCCCCGGGTTGGTGGCAGCTCATTAATTCAGCCGTGTGATGAGCGTGAGGGGGCAGGTTTGGCTCCTCACCCCATCCAGCCCTGCAGAGGCTGTCCTGGAGCTCGTGCTGTCCCACAGGGAACGGCTCCTTTGCACACTGGTGTGCCTGTGGAGCAGTCTGTGCTGCTGCAGCTACACCCGCTCTGTATTACATAGAATTTTGGCCAGGAGATGTCTCGGTGCGTGGCCGAGGTCGGTGTTCCCTGAGTGGGACTGTCAAGGTTAAAAACCAGCTGGAGCTGGAGCTGCTGGGAGAGCCAGTGGCTCCTGCACGGCCCCGTTTGGCACCCGCCTGACCCTCCCTTTGCACCAAAGCAGTCACAGGCTCTACAAAAAGAGGAAAAACCCGGAGCAGCCCCTTGTTCCTCGTGTTGTGCTTGTTAAACTGATGGAAAAATCTCTGCTGCCTGAAGATCCAGGCTTCAGCCCACTGCGTTTATTCCCTGGCTCTCGCGCCGACGGAGACGGCGCGTTAGTTGGTCCAGCTGGAAGCATTGTCTCCCATTAAATAAGGATTTTTAAATGAGCACATTTATCCATGGAGCTGTCACAGCCTGTTGGGTAGCGAATGCGGAGCTGCCTCGGAGCCGTTTGCTCCAAAGAGCTGTGACAGTCTCGGGTGAACAAACCCCGTGTCACCCAAACCCCGAACCCCGAACGCGGCCGTGGGGCCCTGGGGTGGGAGGGAAAAGCCAAGCTCGGGGCTGCAGGAAAAAGGGTGGAAGTGCCTCGTGGGTGCTCGTGGGGGCCGGTTGGCAGCACTGAGGTGGCATTGTCAGCCCCGTGCCTGTCCCTCGCCCCAAAGACTTTACAGCCAACATCTTCTTTTTAATTCCGACACCCGCAAAATAGCAGCTGAAATAACCCTGCTGTATGTCAGCTGCTGATGGAAGGAGATTAAATATTAAAGCCGGTGCTGTGGCTTTAACTCATTCCATTTTTTTCCCTACTCTTCCCCCTCTTTCCCCCCCCTAGCCCCCCTCCCACTTCCCCTCTCTGTGTAAAATGACATGATTTAGAACCCAAGTGCCAGACTCAGCCTCTGGGTTTCGGCGTTTGGAAATGTGTGGAGAAAGATATATTGTGTCTGTGAGCGTTTCTGTGCAGGGAAGGAGAGAGCTCCCGAGCTGTGAGCCCACATAAAGATGTTAAATAGAGCTGTAACGCGCACGGAACGCACGAAAAGTGCCTGAGAAGAAGAAAAAAAAATGAGGAAAAAAAAAATCCTGCGATGAAGCAAAATGAAAGATTAAAATAAACCCGGTGCTAGCGAGGCCGGGCTGGAATGTGGGGCCGGGGCTGGCGGGGAGAGACACGACCCTGTTCCACACCTCTTGCTGCTTCCCTCTTTGACCTAAAAATCCCATTTCTTTAGCAGAAAACTGAGCGGGAGAATCGGGAATTTTCTTCCTTTTCCTTTTTTCCCCCTGTCTCTGGTGCTCAGTATTTCCGACGCCGCTGCCCAGCGGCCGCCTGCCTGCTAAATATTCACACAAAACCCTGATTTATTTCCCTCGGTTCACCCCAACCCACCGATTTTCCAACAGCACCGGGGCGA